GTCACGTCCACTCGTGGAGATCTTGCCGGACCTGCACCTGCATCCTGCCGTGCTCGTTTCCCCTTGTGTTGGATTGCGAGGCTCTTGCTGTATTGGTCGGCGGCTCGGTTCCATTTACCAGTGAACTGTGCCGGCCCACATTGCGACGGATGCCATCACCTTCTAAAGCTGCAGATGAGGCAGGATTGGAATGGGAAGGACCTTATATACTGGTGCAGGCGATTGTGGAGCAAGCAATGTGGCAAGCTGGTGAACCGCGTCATATACGCGGAGTAAGCTACATGGTAGAATGACGCGCGCGTCGAGGCGCATACCAAAACATTGCATGTTACTATATTCCCGACGGTGGGTTCAGAAGGCGCACGGATTGTGTTTGTACTGCAGCAAAACGTCCTTCTTTGGTTCGCGTGTCCAAAAGTGTAAGTGCATTAGTGCATGGGAGCATGATCGCCTTCCGGATTGGAACCACGTAATTTGGATGTAGCAGCGCATTTTGCAACATTTTATATGTGATGTGGTCATGATAAGTATCGTTCAAACAGAAGTACAACCAACGCACCATGTAACAATGTGGGCGTGTCTTCCGACATTGAAGCCTGCGGAAGGGACCCCATCACATCGAAAGGCGCATTCAAGACAACGAACGTCGGAATGTACATCAAATTGCAATCGCATTGCGCATCGGCATGCATATCGAAATTACCATTGTCATGTAAGCGGGGGACAATTCTTTATCTTCTTCGACATGCAGGTCTCACGTCGATTATATGAGAGTCATTGACATGCACACCAGCATGCACATCTGAATGATCCGTGTGATGCGCATGCACATGCACATACAGTTGCAATCGGAATGCATGTCGAAGCTGGAATCGACATGCGTATCCAAATGCAGTCCACATGCACATAGACATGCTAACCAAGCTGTAATCGAAATGCCAGTTGGCATGCAAACAGGAGTGCCAGTTCTCCACCCCGCCCAACGTCCTCATCACCGAAATGTTGTGTTGCGAAGTATGAGATGAGTAGTTCACGCCATATTGAGCACATTACTATGTAACCATATTCGGAGCATTCAGGTACATTACAGGATGAAAGGGGGGGAGGAGGGAGGAACGAAGAGGACGGAGGAACGAGAACGAGGATGATGCTGATGATGGTGCTGATGATGATGCTGCTTATGCTGATGATGATGCTGCTGCTTATGATTATGCTTATGATGATGGCGATGATGATGATGCTGCTGCTGATGATGATGCTGATGATGATGATGCTGCTGATGGTGATGATGATGATGATGGTGGTGGTGGGTGGTGATCATCATGATGATGCTGATTCGGATTATGATGATGCTGCTGATGCTGCTGCTGATGATGCTGCTGCTGATGATAATGATAGTGATGATGCTGCTGCTGATGATGCTGATGCTGCTGCTGATGGTGATGATGACGAGGATGATGATGATGAGGATGGGGATGATGATGATGCTGCTGCTGATGATGATGATGATGATGGTGATGGTGATGATGATGATGATGATGATGATGATGATGATGATGAGGATGATGGTGATGATAATGATGATGCTGATGATGACGATGATGATGATGACGATGATGATGATGATGATGCTGACTATGATGCTGATGATGATGATCGTGATGATGATGATGATGATGATGATGATGATGATGATGATGATGATGATGATGATGATGATGATGATGATGATGATGATGATGATGCTGATG